AGTTGAAGGCCACCCATCTTAAAGTTGCTGAGGTTGAGGAACCCTGCCTTAGAAGACAGTGCCAAGTGTAGAAAGCCAAGGAGCTGACCTTGGAGAAACCAGACTGAGGGGGCAATTGAACAAACAGCCCAGGAAACAGAGAAAGTTTAAGGAAAAAGAAATCTGATTGACTCTTCCCTAATTCACTGGAGTATAAGAAGGAGAAAGGAGAAACTCAGTGAGGCTTGCCTTGTTTCCTGGGCTTAATGCATGTTTTTGCAATTGTGATCTGCCTAGTTGCTCCAAGGTCAGCTCCTTGGCTTTCTACACCAAGGACTGGAGGGAAGGGAGTGAGCCCTCCCCAGCCTTCAAGGGGCCTGGAGGTGCACGGCTGTTCCCACTCGATTGTGACCCTGACCAAATGGCTGGTGAAGTGTATCAGGTTGCCCTCACAGCAAAACTGGCACACAGCTTGTTACCTGCTGGAAGGGAAAAATAGCACTTTCACACCACAGCTGCTGAGAAGAACCTTAAGCTGTTGGGCGTGGGTTGAAGATGAGATGAAGGCAATGTCATGAGGACTTTGCAGGAAAAAGAAGTGGGCAAGGCATGTTTATGCTGTTGGGAGAGACATTGGGAAAGCACTCTAATTGGAGACCCCCACCATGAATTTGTTGAAAAAAGCTTTGCAATCAATGGCTGCCATGAAGTGAGACTCTCCGGCTAATGGATTTCTGATTCTCTCATTATTGCCAAGATGGCTACAAAGGAATGAGCTTGAAAGGAACAGAGTCAGAGAACATTCAAAGATATTGGTTGCAATATCCAATTCAGGTTCCCAGCATTATTGACTTCCCCACTGCCAGTCCTGGCTGAATTCAGATCAGAAAAATCTGGGGTTGGCTGTTTTAGGGTGACTTTCACCAGACACATCATTTCGGTCTGCACAGATACAGATCTATGTATTTTACAATCGAATGTTACTTCCTGGTACATCTTGGTGGTGGTATTTATACCAAGGAAAACAAATGGTCCCCAGTTTAACAATCACTCTGTTTTACATTTTTGCCCAGCAGTCAGTTGCATGTTATTTGCAGCCCCAGTTTTGCTTGTGATTAAAGTCAAGTCTCCTTCAAGTTGAGCTCAGCACTTGGTGAATATAAGGACGTGTCTCTGTCAATTTCACTGCAGTAGTATGGAAATGCCTTGCCACTGCTTTCTTCTGGAATGTCTTTAAACATCTCAGTCCAGCCTCCATTTCCTGATAGTCTCCCATCCAAATACTAACCAGGCCCAATCCTGCTTAGCTTCCTAGCCCAGACTGATGCTGTTCCTGCCGAATCTTGTGATCAAAACCAGACACGTCAATCAGCCTTCCTAGATTCTTTTGGGGAATATGTCTATTGACTCTGATTCATGAAAAACAGGACAGACGTGTGCACAGACAACCAGTTTGGTATCAAGACTGTAGCTGGTAACCTGGTGCTCTTCAGATGTTTTGGGCTTTAGTTTTGATCAACTCTAGCCAGCGTGGCAACTGGCAAGGGGTGATGGGAGTTGTAGTCCAAACATTCATGGAGACTCTCAGTCTGGCATGAACTCAGGGGATTGTTCTGGATGGGGTATTTATATCTCAGTCTAACCACAGAGCTGTTTTCTTGGGGAAAAAGTGGAGACAGCATCCTTGGTCCCTTGGGATAAATTTGAGTGCACGTGGAGTAGCATAAGGAATGTTTTCATTATTGTATCCTGTGTGCATGGCCTCAAGGAAAAATAAGGGGATGTAAGTAAGAAATCTCTCTTGTGGTTGCATTGGAATGGGGCATAGTCCATTTTTTTAACCTTCTGTAAAAGTCTCACAGAGTCTAGGTCTGCAATGTGATGCCTCTTTTGCTCCCTTCTAGGAGGATGACTCTATGGTCTAGGTCTCATGGCCTTTAACAGGCTTCCAGAAAGAGCATTAGAGATGCTGTGAAACTCGACTTCGAGTCTCTGCAAAACATTTGCACGTGGTCTTGCTGTAACAAGAGTCCAGGTAAAGCTGCTTGTTTTGCTTGTATTTTATTAAGAAGAAGCTTTACAGGGGTATGTGTGTGCGTGTTAAACACTGGTGTGGCTTACAAGAGGTCCAGGTTTGAGTCTAGAAAAATTCCAGAAGTCAACATAGAGAGTTTAAGCTAGATGATATACATAGACACCCACAATTCTATATGCATTTTCTGAGTCTCAAACTACATTGGAAAACACTTTGAAATGCTGAAATTGGAACAGTGTGGTTCCGGTTGGGCAGATAACTCAGGTGCCCTTTCAATCGCTTAGGTGATATTGTTTTTCCTAATCTCTTTAGGATCTCTCAGTGATCTTCTTCACTGTCTTCCATCTTAATCAGGAATGTTAGGAAGAGGCAAAAGACATACGCCAGGCTTCCCCAATTTGATTAGGGAATTCTGGCAGTTGAAACCAAACCTATCTGATAGTGAAATAACGGTCTGTGAGGTTGATGGAGTTGGCCGAGATGGCGAAACTGATAGTTTTGATTTGCGATAAGACATTGGGTAATTTTAGTGTTAATTGGATTTGGGGGGGAGGTTTTTGTGGGATATACAAAAATGAAATTACGTTGTATAAGTTTGATGATTAGAAATAGTGTGGGTTCATAGAAATAATGCAAGTTATGTAGTAAATTTAGAGTGAGAGTTTGACGTATATTGTTTCTTATGTCTGGTGGGGTGGGTCAGAAGTTAATTCTTTTTTGTTGTTTTTCTTTTTCTTTTCTGGACCTTTGCTTTTTATTCTTTTTTCTTTTTTCAATTTTTTCAATTTTTTCTTTTTTTTCTTATTTTTATTCTTAATATTAGTTTTGGTTAGTTTCTGACCCACGTGTAGGAATCGGTGAAAACCCAGCATATTTCAAAGCAAAGCATCCATTTCCAGACCCATCTTTATTTCAAGGGTGTCTCTGAACACTGTGTGGACCCGTAGGTATTTGTAGAAAATAAAAAGGAGCCTGTTCGTTCTTGGGAAGTGTTCTGCTTGACCAGGAAAAGACAGAGATAGGCAGGAATGGTGGAAGACAGCCCAGGGAGCTAGAAAAGGCCATGGGGAGCAACCTTTCTAGTTTGTCTTTGTGAGTGGCCATACCCACCATAGCAGCTCTTTCATGAATATGGGAACTTCTCCATGGCAGTTATGACAGTCAATGTGGTATAGTGATGACAGGGCTGGATTAGGAGCAGAGAGACCCAGATTCCAGTCCCCTCCTCAGCCATGGAAGTTCCCAGGGTGATTTTGAGCCAGTCCCTCTCTCAGCCTAAATTTCCTCAGGGGGTGGTCGTGGTGGAGAAAAATAGGAGGAAGGAATATTATTTATACCATTTTGAACTCCTAGAAAAATGTTGGGATATAAATCTAACAAATAAATATTTTGTGAGGTTGTCGACTGTGCTCTCAATGGCCCCCTGTGTCCATCAGCCAAGAACTTCACATACCCTTGGATTAGTTGACTAAGTAATTTGTCAAATGCCTCAGGGAAAGTATTGTCCCATCTTGTCATCCCCTCCTTTCCAGAGTAGTTTATCTTTAGAGACTGACTCCCACCAAGCCTGAATAAATGGCTCCCCTTCTCAGGGTGCAGACAATTGAAGGAGACCATTTTTCACAGGCTCCAGGAACTTAAAATGGCCAGGGTCCTCCTGCAGGTGGGTGTGGCAGTTACACTTGGCCCTGGAAGAACACAGTGGGCTGACATTGTGAAGTGCCACTAGCTGACCCAGAGAGATCCATGCTCCAAATAATTAACTTGCCTAGCCTTGCAGAGGGCCTTCAGAGACAGAATGGTTGCACGCAATGAAGATGATGTTGATCTGAGCCGTCATGGTTGAAAGGTGTCTCTTTGTATAATATCCAACAAGTAGTCTGGAGTGTTGCATCAGATGATTTATTTATCTTTCTCCTTATTCGTATCTGACCTGTAAATGAAGAAACCCTTGGTCCAGAAAGGGTGCACTGAAATGAGTGCTTTTAATTCCCACTGCTGAATATAGATGAACTGCAGCTGAATTTTGGCAGAGCAATTCCAGGGGGCTGAAAAATTAAGGTCAACCTGCGAGATACCCACCCTGATTTAAACATATATTTGCAACCAATGGTTGGGATCAGCAGCACGGATGGTGATGGAGGGTGGTGGTCATAAGCAGCAAAATGGTAGATGAGACAACACAGTGCAAGGGGTGGGATTTGCATTGCAAAACTCTCCCTGCCATCTGGCCACTTTTGATTCCCCCACAAACACCACTCCTTAGAATTGGCACTTGTCATTTTACTTTGCCATGATGTCCTGAAGTTGTATCACCTCTGCTAGTTAAAATGGTGGCCCCAACCCAGTAATCTTGCAGTTCAGGACTACTGATGTTGGGAAAGCTCACCAGAGGGTATTTGGCTGAAGGTTCCTCAAATTGGAGGCAGCCTTATCTAGAAGTATTAGATGTTACATTTCTACAGATGGGATATGTTTGAACTGTGATGAGGGTGAAGCACTCTGCACTAGCTCCAAAATCATCATCTTTTGCTTTCCCTTCTCAACCCAGTCTTTGAGATGTAACTGAACCATTACTTAAATCTCATCCTCATTCCTACTGGAGTTGCATGCCGTCTGTGAGATTTTGTGGTTCCACTCTGGATGGATTACACATTTCCCACAGGTTTTGCTGCAGGGTGTACAGGGTATATTGAACATCTTGCTTCCGTGTGTAGCAAGTTGGCAGAACTGTCCTGAGACATCAGATTTCCCAAAATGGGGCATCTTCCAGACCTGTTTCTCTACAGCTTTGAGAAATTCCCAACCATTCTGGAAGTTGTAATCCAGCAGATCTGGAGAGTATCAGGTTGGGGAAGACCGCAAGAGAGTACCAAGATGGTGAAAGCTCTGGAAACTAAGCTCTGAGAGGATCTGTTAAAGGATCTGCCTATGTTTAGCTTCCAGAAGAGGCAACTGAAGAGAAATAATAACATCAGTCTTCAAATATCTGAAAGGTTGTCTCATAGAAGCGGGAGCAGACTTATTCTCCACTACCCCAAAGTTATGACCGGAATCAATGGGTTAAAACTGCAAGGAAGGAGGTTCAGGCTAGATACCAGAAGGAACTTTACAAGCTGTCAGCCAGCAGAATGGAGCACCACATGAAGTGGTGAGTTCTCCGTCACTCTCTTCAAAGGTTGGATGGTCATCTGTGAGTTGCTCTACAGTGGATCCTGCGTTGAGCAGAGGATTGGGTTGAAGACCTCTGCAGTCTCTTTCAACTCTATGATTCTATCTTTGAATCCTTTGAAGGAGTCCCAGGTAAACTCCCTCTCCACCCACAAGACTGTTTAAAGAGTCCCCTATTCAACCAAACCTTTTATCTAGTTTGATTGATCAACTTCGAAATGCAAGGGCGGTGGGTTGCCATATTGCTAAATGGTGAAAGTAGCATAGCCCCGTTGTGCATCTTGCCAGCCTGAAACCCAGCCAGTTTTCCATCAGGCTAAGCTCTGGTTGGCATCTCTCTTTGTTCTGAGTCTGAGAGCTGCGATTTGGAACACCCTTCTCCAAGGCAAATGGTTTCAGGTGAGTGTAATTTTCCAGGTACAAGGTCAAAGATGTATCAGAGTTACGTGCTTTCATGCTCAGCCATGGAGAAAACTAGCTGGCTCTCGGTCAGGTTTTTGTTTCCCAGCTTAAAAATGACATCACAAGACAGCGGGGATCAAAATAAGAGCAGGAGGAATTATACAAAACAAGGGTGATGCAGATATGAAAAATGATCATACCTAGTTAATGACAGGAGGAAGAAGTCATTTCCAGCAGGCAGAGAAGACGCAAAGGTACTTGCTTTTCCTATATGCCCAAACCACTTTCTTCCCTCCTTAATGAAAGGAGACCTGTAATATGATCTTGTCGTGTTCAGTGTTTCTCCACGCCTCCAGTTCCCTCCAGGAGGAAGAGAAAACACTCAACGTCATGAGATTGTGCCATTTGTGCTTTAACTCAGCCTGGGCTCATCTGGGGCCTGAATTTATGACTAGAGCAGGTAGCATGATACCCATAGGTACCAATGTTTCCATGGTTCCTGTCCACCTATTTTTAATTTACTTTTTGGATTCAATGTATACCAATGTCATGGGAAGGTGTTGCACTGAAAAACTATGCTCCAGGCCTCTAGCATTGCTCTTTGACTCCCCAAATGCCTCCGGGTCACCACATGGGCCCCACTGCAGTCTTGGAAAATAAAAATGAAGGGGCCTGTAGTCCTGTCTTCTGTTTGGAAGCGTAGCCACCTACCCAGGAAAAGGTAGGCGCAGGTAGTAGAGAATCCCCATGGAAGCTAAAGAGGAATCAACACAACTCTTTGCCTCCTGGCAACTGGTGGTTTTGGGATTGGCCACCGTTTGTAAATAGGTAAGGCCCATCCCTTCATGGCAGCCATTTTGCGAGAGTGACCATGATATGGGCTCAACCTGTGCTTATCCATGCTGACAGTTTGCCTGGTAATTTAAACTAAATTGAGCTAACTCAGTGTTTCCCAACCTTGGGAACTTTAAGATGTGTGGACTTCAACTCCCAGGGTTCCCCAGCCAGCCATG